TTGGAAGGTGTTCAGTGACTTTTTTTGGGGAAAGTGTGTTTTGAAAACATTTTACATTTTCCCCCTCCACCCAACAGGTAAAATGTGCTTAGTAGAGAAAGATGGGAAAGTACAAGCCTGTAAGGAGAAAAAATTCACCTGTAATTCAATATTCAGAGGGAATTACTCTAATTACCAAATTACTGCTTGGGTGAGAGATATATGTACTCCCAATATAGTTTTTCTATTTGTACGCACACAGACATTGAAATGTATATGTATAAATGCATTTTTAGAAAAATATATTTTTATTGATTTCAGAGAGGAAAGGAGAGGGAGAGGGAGGGAGAGAGAGAGAAACATCGATCGGCTGCCTCCCGCACGCCCCCTACTGGGGATTGAGCCTGCAACCCGGGCATGTGCCCTTGACCTGACTCAACCTGGGACCCTTCAGTCCACAGGCCTACACTCTATCCACTGAACCAAACCGGCTAGGGCTGTCTATGTGAATTTTTTAATTAAAAAGGTACTAGGAGCTCAGTGAAGCAAAACTAGCATTACAAAAACACATAAAGGCGTGCCTGGCATACCTCTGAGGACGGATAGGCAGATTCTGGCTGCACGGGTTGCCTTGGGCAAGAGAACTGGCGAGGGGTTCACTGCATTCCTTTCTGTACTTTTTGAAGTTTGAATGCATTATCCAAAAAGACAATAGAAGTAATAACAGCCACACATAAGAGAAGAGAAGAATCCTCCCCTCACCACCTCCCTCAGTTTGGCCCCTGATTCAAATGAGCAGTTTGGTTTGTAACTTCAAAAAAATTATTTTTCATAGTTTGTATCTTTTTGGGCCTCTGTGCTCAGACATTGCATATTTCTCCCTCTCTCTCTCTCTCTCTCTCTCTCTCTCTCTATATATATATATATATATATACACACATATATATATATTTGGGGGGTTTTTAAAATAAAGATGGGATTATATTATATGCACAGTTTCTGTAGCACGAACACAGACTGTTGTTTTAAAATGCTGGATGTTTTGGGGTTTTCTTCTGCCTGAGGTGCTTATTATAAAAATCAAAGATCACAGAGTCAAGTAAACATAGGAAGGAAAGAAAGTCTAAAAGAACACCATCTATTTCAGGATTTTAAACACAGAGCCAAAGGTCAAGAAAGAGCTCAGCCGGCAGCAGCTGTGGTCACCCTCAGGTTGGGTAGGAGAATGGGTGGAGGTACACAGGGGGACTTCTCTGTCGGCATAGTATAGATTTACAGTGAGAATGCATTTTTGTATGTTAATTTTTAAAACTATATTGTGTAATAAAATTAAAAAGAAAAATACAAAAATGCTGGATGACTATGTCCTCTCTCCAAAAAAACCCACAAAAAACAAAAACACGGGGAAACAAAAGTGGAAAATGCAAGTTTTCTATATCCTCATAGTTAGCAGCCTGCTGTATATTCTTCAGACTGTCCCCCCCGTCATGTGGGTGCACACACACATGCACACATTTTTATAAAAATGATAACATGCTTTCTTTTTTAAATAACAGCTTTATTGAGATATAATTTCTATGCCATAAAGTTGGCCTTTTTTAAGTATACAGTTCTGTGGTTTGAAGAAGACTCGGAGCTGTACAGCTATCACCACTCTCTAATTCCAGAGCATTTTCATCACCCCGAGAAGAAACCCCGGACCAGCATAGTCACTCCCTGTTCCCCACCAGCAACCACTCATCTGTCCACTCGCAGCCTAGATTTGCCCATTCTGAACATTTCGTGAAAATGGAATCATAACTATGTAGCCTTTTGTGACTGGCTCCTTTCACTTAGCGTGATGTTTTCAAGGTACATACATGTTGTAGCCTATGTCAAGACGCCATTCCTTCTTGGTTGAACAATATTCCCTTGTGTGGAAAGGCCACATTTTGTTTATCCTTCATCAGTTGGTGGACACTTGGGTTGTAGATTTTGTTTAGCAGGTTCTTTCCTTTACAAGACGTCTTTACCATGTCAGTGAGTCTCACTGTCTCTCCATCCTTTTTAATAGCTTCAGGCTTTATGTTATCTTATTCCTTTATGTGTATGTGATGGCTGGGACCTCAGGGTGCCTTTGGAGACCCCTGGCTCCTCTTCCTGTCACCTGCTTTCTTCCTCCAGGGAGTCCGCAGTGCTTGAGGAGGTTGGTCACCTAATCCATGGCTCAGTTTTATAGATGATAAAATAGAGCTGCTGGGAGAAGAAGGGTTCACCCAGGATCACAAATGCAGTGTTGTGGGGTTCCCAGAGTTCACAGCCCCTCCCATTTAGCTTGTTAGTAAGCAAGCTCAGATCGTCAACCTAGAGCCCCTCACCTCAACCACTCACCTCAACCACTCCACATGGGACTCTACCTCGGAGCAGCCCTTCCTGGGCCCCATTTGTGGGGGGACTTGCTTTGTGGCTCTCACCCCACAAAACAAGTCTTGGTACCCAGCGTCTGAAATATCAGCCTCTGCAGACCTGCCTCATTTGCATTTCAAAAGGTGTCTAGGATTTGGTTGGACTTGAAGATATACTCAAGAAGCCATCTGGAGTTCATCTTCCTGGCTCTGTGGTTTCTACTTGGGCTGCACGTTAGAATCACTTGGGAGCTATTTTAAAATACTGATGTCTGCGACCTACCCTGGACCAATTATATCAGAATCTCTGGGGGTGGGATCTTAGGCATTGGGTTTTTTTTTTTCTTCTTTAAGTTCCCTAGGTAATTCTCATGTTCACCCAGATTTTGAACCACCGTGCTACCTCATCAAAGAAGGCCCATTTTTGCCCTGACCGGTTAGATAGAGCGTCGGCCTGCGGACTGAAGGGTCCCAAGTTCGATTCCAGTCAAGGTCATGTACCTTGGTTGTGGGCACATCCCCAGTAGGGGGTGTGCAGGAGGCAGCTGATCGATGTTTCTCTCTCATCGATGTTTCTAATTTTCTATCCCTCTCCCTTCCTCTCTGTAAAAAAAAATATATATATATTAAGAAAAAAAAAAGGCCCATTTTCTCCTAAGTTCTTGGAACTAGATCTAGAGCTATCCCAAGACCTGGTCCCAGGTCAGCTGTGGATTTGCTGTGGGACCTCGCTCTCACCTTCAGTAAAGCGGGGGCTTGGATTAGATCAGTGGCTCTCCCCTTCATGTATTCACACCACACGAGAGCGTTCTCAAAAACACCTGCCCAACCCGGAAAGTCAGAAGCAGCCCAAGTGAATCATCCTGCTTCGCAGGAAGACGTGCTCGGTGGAATCCTGCATCTAACTGAATGACTCTTAAACACTGCGAAACTTCAGTAATGATTATTGTACCCTTGCCCCCTCGAAACCCCCTAGGCGAGTGCTATTCACATTCTTGCCAGAGATATATAAGCATTCCTGTTTCTCTATAGCAGTGGTTCTCAACCTGTGGGTCGCGACCCCTTTGGGGGTCAAACGACCCTTTCACAGGGGTCCTCTAAGACCATCAGAAAACACATGTATAATTACATATTGTTTTTGTGATTAATCACTATGCTTTAATTATGTTCAATTTGTAACAATGAAAATACATCCTGCATATCAGATATTTACATTACGATTCATAACAGTAGCAAAATTACAGTTATGAAGTAGCAACGAAAATAATTTTATGGTTGGGGGTCATCACAACATGAGGAACTGTATTAAAGGGTCGTGGCATTAGGAAGGTTGAGAGCTTCAGTAGAATGTGTTGTGAGATGTTTGGATTTTTGCCAGTCTGATAGGTGTCTCAGTGTAGTTTGAGTTTGCATTTCTCTATTGAACAGCGTTAAGCATCTTCCTATGCTTAGGAGCCACTTCCTTTTTCCTGAGAACTGTTTTTCATATCACCACCCCATTTTTCTATAGGTTTTTTGGATTTTTTTATTCTCTATTTTGTGAAGCTCTTTACCTATTTAGGATATTGGCCCTTTGTCAGTGTTATGAATTGCAAATATTTTTCCCAGTTTGTCATTCATATTTTTACTTTTCTTAAGATGTATTATTTTTCCATGCCGATTTTGTTTATCTGATCAAATGTATCCGTTTTCTTCCCCTATCACTCCTGGATCTTGGAGTCATGACTACCTGTTAGAGTCTTCTTTTCCTTTCATCTGCATGCAGACTTTTACAATTTAAATTGAGATCAGTCCCTCATCATTTCCAAGCCTCCTGTGGATTATGATTTCACCCATATTCATTCATTCTGGGTTAAAGTCCCACTAGAAGGCCATTCCATGAGGACAGGGTTTCCTCGGAGGTGGAGCTTTACGTGCAGAGACTATGGAAGGGTCCCCTTGGGAATAACACCACCAGGGAACAGAGGGAGAGTGGGGCTGTGGAGCCTTCAGACCGGTGGCTCAGCCCATCTCATGGGGAGCTCTGGAGCGTGGATGGCCCTGGAGAGCTGCCCTGGGTTGAGGCAGTGGAGCGTGGACCAGTCGTTGGATGTGGGCTGCCCTCAGTCCATGGCCATTGTTGTGAGGGGGACTCAACGTTGAGGTCTTAGCACTGGGGGAGGATGAGAGCCCCAGTCCTGAAAAGGGGATCTGGATGGAGCATCCGCCCCAAATACCTGTCTGCCTTCTGTATTCTCAGAATACACACCTGCTGTATTCTCTATACCTGCCTGAGCTTAGCACATAATCGATGCTCAGGAAGTCTTTGGTGAATGACTGTCAAGAACAGAAACCCAGATACCCGGGTCGTAGCCAGGCCAGCTGGATCCAATGTGGTGGTGGGCGAGAGGGGAGGCACCCTGGGCAGGTGTGTTCAGAATCATCTCCTAAAGTGCTTCTGGCCTGTCCCCCATTTGCAACCCACTGGGTGGTCTTGAGAGTCCCTCTGGCTCAGCAGGTGGTGCTGGCCAAGGCTGGAGATGGCTGGGCTGGGTAGAGAAGGGGGCCCCAGTGAAACTGCAGGCTCTGTGACTTCTCTTTGGATGCACATCACCCTCCTGAGCTTTCAATGCTGACTTTTTCTTACTCTCCCTCCAGCATTCCTTGAAGAAAAGAGGAACGCGTTCCTTGGGAAAGACAGACAAGAAGCCTTCGGTGCAGGTACTTCCCAGCAGTTCCCACAGCCCCCAGCGTGTAGCCCCTGCTGGCAGGTTTTAGTCTTAAGGCGTAAGGCCTAACTCCAAGTGGCCTGGGTGTTTCTCCGAGATCCTCACCCCTCTCTAGCTTTTATTCCATCCTCCCCTTGTTCCTTTTCTTAGCTTTGCTGTCCACTTCATTTCCCAAAACCATGCCCTGAACCCGTAATTCTCACACACTCAGATAGATAAAGTGCTATGTGTAGCATAGGCCAGGCATAGGATACCGTTAGCCTCTGGTGCTGGATTGTCAGGGTGCCAGGCGTTTTTCATACATTATCTCATTTAATCCTCTCCATGGCTCTGTGAGGGAGGGAGTGTTATTGTCCCATTTTACGGGTGAGGAAATTGTCGTAATAATGTTAGTAGTGGTAGTAACAGCAATAGTCACCGTGGCAAAAAAAATGTTGCCTACTCCAGGAAGCCCGCCTGGACTCCCCGGGTTACGTGTGGTGCGCCATCCTTGCTGCTTTATCAGTGTTCCCCTCTCTGCTTCCCTCTGGTTCCCCAGCTCCTTGAAGGTTGGGGCTTCCTCTGCTTTATTCCTGTGTCCCCAGCACATAGTTGGTGCTCCCAGAAATGCTATGGCTGGTATTGAGCCTCCTAACACTAATCTTCCTGGGTCCTCTCTGTCCCTGTGCCCATCGGGCCCCAGGAGGACAGTGCAGACCTGAAGTGCCAGCTGCACTTCGCAAAGGAGGAGTCGGCCCTCATGTGCAAGAAGCTCACCAAGCTGGTCAAGGAAAACGACAGCATGAAGGAGGAGCTGCTCAAGTACCGCTCGCTCTACGGTGATCTAGACAGCGCCCTGTCGGCCGAGGAGCTGGCAGATGCACCCCACTCGCGGGAGACCGAGCTGAAGGTGCATCTGAAGCTGGTGGAGGAGGAGGCCAACCTGCTGAGCCGCCGCATCGTGGAGCTGGAGGTGGAGAACCGAGGCTTGCGGGCCGAGATGGACGACATGAAGGACCACGGTGGCAGTGGTGGGGGCCCGGAGGCACGCCTGGCCTTCTCTGCGCTGGGTGGCGGTGAGTGTGGGGAGAGCTTGGCAGAACTGCGGCGACACCTGCAGTTTGTGGAGGAGGAGGCAGAGCTGCTGCGGCGCTCCTCGGCCGAACTTGAGGACCAGAACAAACTACTGCTGGGCGAGCTGGCCAAATACCGTTCAGAGCACGAGCTGGACGTGACGCTGTCAGAGGACAGCTGCTCCGTGCTCAGCGAGCCCTCGCAGGAGGAGCTGGCGGCCGCCAAACTGCAGATCGGTGAGCTCAGTGGCAAAGTCAAGAAGCTCCAGTATGAGAACCGTGTGCTCCTGTCCAACCTCCAGCGCTGCGATCTGGCCTCCTGCCAGAGAACACGGCCAATGCTGGAGACGGACGCCGAGGCGGGGGACTCTGCCCAGTGCGTGCCCGCTGCCCTTGGCGAGGCCCATGGCCCCCATGCCACCCGGCTCTGCAGAGCCAGGGATGCTGAAGTGCTGCCTGGTCTGCGGGAGCAGGCCGCCCTGGTCAGCAAGGCCATTGACATCCTGGTGGCCGACGCTAACGGCTTCTCAGCTGGCCTCCGCCTGTATCTGGACAACGAGTGTGCCGACTTTCGGCTGCACGAGGCCCCCGACAACAGTGAGGGCCCCAGGGACACCAAGCTCATCCATGCTATCCTGGTTCGGCTGAGCATGCTGCAGCAGGAGCTTAACGCCTTCACGCGGAAGGCAGACGCGGTCCTTGGGAGTTCTGCCAAGGAGGCGCAAGAGCCCTTCTCGTCGCTGACCCCCTGTGGCTCCCAGGGGCCCTCCAAGGAGATTCTTCTGGCCAAAGACCTTGGCTCAGACTTCCAGGTAAGAGGTCCAAGTCGTAGGCCCTGTTATTTTTTTTTTGATAGAACCTTTTTTACTGAAGCACAACACACAGAGGGGTACACAAAGCACAGGTGTGGAGCTTAGGATTTTCCCCAGGTGAGCACAGTCATATAATCACTGCCCAGAACAAGAACTAGAGACGACCAGCACCCCTCCTCAGGCGCCTTTCCAGCCACAGTGCCCCTTCCCACGGGTAGCCTCTTGACTTAGTTTGGGCTGTCTTTGAACTTCATATAAATTGCCTCAACCAGCACACATTTGTGTCTGGCTTCCTTCACTCACCATGTGTTCGTTGTCTCATGTGGCAGGAGTTTTTCATTCTCTTTCCTGGATACAGTCTCATTGAGTGAATGTGCCAAAATTCCTTACTCATTTATTATTGATAGATACAGGGCTTGATTCTGAGGCCCTGCCTTTTTTTCAGGTTGCCCTTTCTTCTTTTCTTGTTTCTTTCACAATTTTGTATTTTAAAATGAGTATTAGTAAAACAAAGAACTTTTCTTCAGGTCAGATGCAAAGGCCAGGAACTTAGCTTTCTAAAGATAAGGAATGAACTTGTATGTCTGGATGTCTGTAGAATATTACTTAGAAAAATTAAAATAGCAAATGTATTTGTCCCCCGAAAAAGCATTATTGACAAAGTAGTCCATAAACATTCACAGCGTTTCAGAAGCACCTGAGTAAAAGATGAACGCCTCCTCTCGCCGGGGTGGTCAGTGGTTGAGCATAGTCCTATGCACCAAGAAGTCACAGGTCACAGGTTCAATTCCCAGTCAGGGCACATGACCGGTTTGCCGGCTCGATCCCCAGGGTGTGGTCAATCAATGATTCTTATCATCGATGTTTTTAACTCTCCCTCTCCCTTCCTCTCTGTCTAAAAATCAATAAAAACAATATTTTTAAAAAAAGATGAAAGCCTCCTCTTCGCTGCTTCTCACTCCCTACGGGAGGGACTGCTTTTAATGGTCTGGAGCAGCTCTGGCCAATACAGTGGCCTCTAGCCACATGTGGCTACTTAAATTTAAATTAATAAAAATTATTCACAATTGAAAATTCAGTTCCTCAGTCGCAATAGCCACATTTCAAGTGCTCAGTAGCTGCCTGTGTCAAGGAGTGTAGCTCTATAATATTCCATCACCACAGCATGCCCTTCTAAATCTTTCTCTGTGTAGACGCTCATATATTTATTTTTTCACCCATATTGTCTTTTGTTATACCTACTGTTACCACACAACTTATTTTTCTCATGCAGTGTATCTGTTTCTGGCACCCCTCAGGCCCATCCCCATGGTTATTCTGGTCTCTTCTGCCTGTGCCTCTAGGTGCAGCCACCTGACTTCAGGGACCTGCCGGAATGGGAGCCCAGGATACGAGAGGCCTTCCGCACTGGTGACTTGGACTCCAAGCCCGACCCCAGCCGGAGCTTCAGGCCTTACCGAGCTGAAGACAACGATTCCTACGCCTCTGAGGTGGGCCTAGCCCTGAGCAAGCAGCGGGGCGGGTAGGAAGAGAGTGTCTGGGGCTTCCCAAAGCAGCGGGATCCGTGGGGCATCTTAGTTGGTGATGATGTGGGTTTTGAGTATTCCATTTGGTTTCGAGCTTCCGGAAACCAGGACAAAAAGGGAAACAAGGAAGTTTAGGCCATTCTCATGGCCCGATAAAAGGAAGCTTATAAACTCAATAATTTACGGCATTTACTGGAACCACTAATTTATGTACAGGAAGGCAGCAGTCTCTACTGTCAGGCGACTGGGTTCACACTGTGGGCCCACTGTATACTGTCTGTAAATCATTTGACCTCTCCGATCCTCAGTTTCTCGCCTTTAAAATAAAGCGATCCCTCATAGTATGTTGAAAGTATTAAATATACAAAAAGCCTCAGCTTAAGCCTGGTCCATGCTGGGTGAGGAGGAGGAGGACACATCACTGGGCCTCAGGGGACCTACCATTGTGACTGTGTGGCTTCGGGCAGGGACATGGTCTTACTCTGATGCAGCTTTCCCGTCTGTAACATGGGAGGATCAGAGTTGGTAGTGGCTGAAGAATTGCTAGGATTCTCTGATCCTTGAGGACTTCTGAGTGGTTCCAAGCCCTTCCCAAACCTGCAAGAAAAGGGTCCTATCACAGACAATAGGGGAGTGAGGACCTGTGCTGAGAGGTGGGAGCGGGCGGGGAGAGGTCAATGGGGGGGAGGGGGGGGAAGGAGACATACATAATACTTTCAACAATAAAGAATTAAAAAGAAAAGAAAAGGGCCCTATAGCCTGCATTGGACGAGCTACCTGGGATTCCCGAACCACGGAAGCCTGTGTGTGCCCTAACCTGAGCGTTCCTGGGAAGGCACTTTGGAGTCCCAGGAAGGCCAGTAGGCAATCTATGCAGAGTGAGCAGCTCCCTTGAAGTTGAAAGATCAAATTCTCTAAGTGGTTAGCGTTTCCTAGCAGCCATGGCCAAAGCGGGGAGGGGCGGAATCAGGAGATACTTAGTTCTCATTTTCTGAGAAAAGGAAATAGGCCAGCTCACCTGCAGAGAAAATAATTTCCTGCGCGCATTCAATGACTGCTTCATTCAACCACTCTTTATTGAGCAGCTACAATTTGCCAGGCCCTGTGTTGGGTACTGAGTTCACGGAGAACACTAGAGACAGCAGATCTAGCCCTACAAGGATTTTTAATACAAAACAGGAGTATAAGGTAAACCTCAAGTCAGTGCCTTCCATTGCCAAATTTCCACATTATTGGCCAGATAATGTATATTTTTTTCATAGAGGGACATCTTGCCACGCCTGGGAAGGTTTTGTGTAAGGGTGGAACTGACCTTTCCTTTTTTTTCCTCCTGCTTAACATGACACCATAAAAATTCCCCTCGGTTATTAGAAATACATAAAAAATTTTAAAGTGCAGTGTAACATGCATACAGAAAAGCACTTGCATTGTAAGTGGACAGCTCAGTAATTTCCGCAAACTGAACACTCCTGTGTAATCAGCACGCAGATGAATAAACAAGCATGACCTGCCCCGGGAGTCCTCTATGTCCTCTTCTAGTCTCCATCCTGATTTCTAACAGAATAGGTTAGCTTTGCCTGTTTAGCTACAAATTTCCCGTGGAAATGTAGAGTTTTATTGTCTTTTTCTTAAGATTTTATTATAGCAGCAAATAGCTACAACAAAGTCCCTAAGCACCATTGCATAAAGATACAAAGAAGAAAGTCAAGATCATAAGATTATCACACAGTTAACTACTATTAACATTTAGTGTGTCCATGTCCTTCCTGTTTTTCTATTGAGATATATCTTTTCAAACTCTTTATTGAAGTAGAACATCATATAATATACATATAATATGATAATACACATACAACAGCGGTTCTCAACCTGTGGGTTGCCAACCTGTGGGTCGTGACCCCTTTGGGGGTCGAACGACCCTTTCACAGGGGTCGCCTAAGACCATCGGAAAACACATATATAATTACGTATTGTTTTTGTGATTAATCACTATGCTTTAATTATGTTCAATTTGTAACAATGAAAATATATCCTGCATATCAGATATTTACATTATGATTCATAACAGTAGCAAAATTACAGTTATGAAGTAGCAATGAAAATAATTTTATGGTTGGGGGTCACCACAACATGAGGAACTGTATTAAAGGGTCGCGGCATTAGGAAGGTTGAGCACCACTGACATACAATAAAGGACACCATCCTTAAGGATATAGTTAATGGATCTTACCTATGTATAGACCCATTTAACACATATATTGATTCTCATCATTATTATCTAAGTTGTTTGTAACTTTTGCAGTTATAAACAATGAGATAGTGAACATTTTTTTTGCAAATCAAACTCAGTTTCCACACTATATTATTTTCTTCAAGTAACTTTGAAAAAGACACATTATCAAGTTAAAATTGTAATAGCTAGATTTGACGTGCACTGTTTTGTTTCATCATCATGATGAACTGCTGAGGTAGGGTCAGCCATCGTGCCCGATTTGTACTTGAAGGACAGCTTGGGTCTGACTTACTGCTGTTGCTCTCCTACCACTGTTGTCCTCTGACCACAGCTTCTCCCCTCCTCTTGTTCTCTCCCTCCTCATTATTCATGTCCCTCATCCCTACCCCAGATCAAGGAGCTGCAGCTGGTGCTGGCCGAGGCCCACGACAGCCTCCGGGGCCTGCAAGAACAGCTCTCCCAGGAGCGGCAGCTACGGAAGGAGGAGGCTGACAACTTCAACCAGAAAATGGTCCAGGTGCGTGGTGCTCAATGCCCTACCTACACTTAACTCCAACCTCCCTTCCCTGATTTGAAGGCAGAAATCTCAGAGGTCCACAAGTCTTAAGAAGGCAAGAATGTCAGGGGAAACCTGAGTCTTCCTGCTTCATGGTTGTGGAGTGTCTGCACATGTGATCACACATTAGCTGTGCTGGGCTGGAATCCGGGCTTGTCATTGGCTGCCGTTGTGATCTCCGGTCTCGTCTCTGAGTCTCAATTTCCTGTCTATGAAGTACTACCCCCATCTGTATCCAAAAGGCCATAGGTCTGGCTGGTAATCAAGATGCTAATCCTACTAATAGAAAGCATTTATTAAGCACTTTCTGTATTGCAGGCCTGTGTAATGCACTTTCCACACATTATGTCCTTTAATCATCAGGTCTTCCTTTATGCTGTGTCCCCATTCTACAGATGGGGAAGCTGATTCCCAGAGAGCTGAAGTACTTTTGCCCAGGGTTGCACATCCAGGCAAAGTGGGGCTAGGATTCTAATCAAGGTCTCTGGCTCCCTCTTAGCCATGACATAGCATTGCTTTCTCTAGGATATTACATGTGCTCAGTCTTCCTCACTCCCAGCATGCCCTTACCCCTCCCTGCCTTCATTGCTCACCCTCCCAAGTTCCTCATTAAATGTGAGTTCATGTGAAACATTGGCACAAAGTACATGCTTATTAGATTATGTCATGGTTTTTATAATCAAACAGAGCTGGATTCAAATCCCAGCTGTTTTCACTGATTCAGTAACTGATTGCTGTTGATTTTCTGAGTCCTCCTCCCTGGAGTAGCAGAGGGCAGTGTTTAGCTCAACAGAATGAGCTGCTAGTGGTGGAATTCCTGGCAGGAATCACCAACAAACACCACCCAGATTTTCTTCACTGCCCTTGTCAAAAGCCTGGAATGGGGTGGGGTAGTGCCCAGGAAGACAGCTGGGTGGCTCATGCTCTTGTTCCCCTCGAAGCTGAAGGAGGACCAGCAGAGGGCGCTCCTGAGGCGGGAGTTTGAGCTGCAGAGCCTGAGTCTCCAGCGCAGGCTGGAGCAGAAGTTCTGGAGCCAGGAGAAGAACATGCTGGTGCAGGAGTCCCAGCAGTTCAAGCACAACTTCCTGCTGCTCTTCATGAAGCTCCGGTGGTTCCTCAAGCGCTGGCGGCAGGGCAAGGTTTTGCCCAGCGAGCGGGATGACTTCCTTGAGGTATGTTTCCTCTGGGACGGGGACCGGGTCGAGGGTGGTATGGGGTTGATAGGACCAGAGGGACACCCAGCTGGCATCGGCACAGCCCCGAGGCTCCTCTACAAGCCATCAGCTTGCGGGCTTCATTCAGCATCTGTCTGTGAGAGCCAGCTCTTTACTGGGTGCTGTGGCAGGTGCTGGGGGATACCGTGGTGAAGACAGACTGGGTTCCGGCCTCAGCAGGAGAAAATCTCCTTGGGGGGCTGGTAGGTCTCTAATTCTTGTTCATTTCCCTTTTTAACAAACCTTGGGGTCTTCAGCAGGCAAGAGTATGTAGGCGATTTTAATAATCTAGTTCTGTTGATATTCCATTATATACAAGTATAGTGTGCATTAATGCTTTTACTCCTTTAAGTATCGCTTACACACAGTAACGTGTGCACATCTTAAGTTACAGCTGATGAAGTTGTATAGTGTGCACCTGTGTAGCCCCCGCCGATCACAATAGAGCACATTTGTAGTGCCCCAGTCAGTATGCCCACCCCAGCAGTCAGCACAATTCTGATTTCTTACACCATCAATTACTTTTGCCTATTGTAGAAGTTTATGTAAATGTAGGTAGTCTTTTTGTGTCTGCCTTCTTTTGCTCACTATAAGTTCTGAGATTCATTCATGTTTTGCATATACTAGTTCATTTTTTATTGTTTATGTTTGACTTATGAATATACCTATTTTATTTTTAATGTTACCTTCGATATATAGCAGTGGAGCTTTCCATTTTTAGTAATAATACTTTCCTTTTTTAGATAGACTTATTTAACTAGAAAGAGTAGGTTGACTTAAAAACATGAATGAGAGTAGAGGTAGTATTTGGATGTGGCAGGAAACATGAGGAGTGGAACTTCGGGAAGGACTCCCATGGCCCTCAGCCTGTGCAGGATCCTTTGTTCCTCAAAGCCCCTGTGCCCCATCGTCAGCACTAACATTGCTGAGAGAAGGGAGCACATAAGGACATCATACCTCAGTCACACCCAGCTGAGCTGGCACTGCTTACCTTGGCCTTTTGGGTATAGGTACCTCTGGTCTAGCCCAAGCTTGGAAAAAGTTTGCCTGACATTCATTTGACAGCAAAACCTTTATTTATTCCATTTCATGTTCATATCCATTCGTTTATAGGGGAAATACTAGTGTCTTGGAGCACAGAGTGTTACACCAGAGTTTGCCAGGGTTGTTATACAATACTAGAGGCCCAGTGCACGAAATTCATGCACAGATAGGGTCCCTAGTGGCTGCCGGCTGCCAGCCGGGGCCTCCCTTCCCCTGGCTGCCTGCTGCCACCGCTGGCCGCCTGCTGCCACCGCTGGCCGGGGCAGGGTTGGCTGGGGGAAGGGGCCACAGGCGATTGGCTGGCCAGCCCCACCCCCTGAACGAACTCCCAAACTCCCGGTTGAGGGGACAATTTGCATATGAGGCTTTTATTATATAGGAGGATAGAGTGTAGGTGCTATATTATTCTTCTAAATCCTGATTAATTCTGAATTCCAAGCACACCTGACCCTAAGGATTTCAGAGAAAGAGTTGTGTACCTGTGTATATACATAGAAGATTGTATATTTAAATACTGTGGCCGGGGACAGAATTGGGGGGTGTTTCTTTATGCAGGCCCTGCCCCCCCCACACACACATACACACACACTTTCCAGTCTCTGCACCTTCCTAATCCTAGAAACCCTTATTCATGTGATTTCTAGGACACGCTCTTGGTTTTCATTTCACCTCACTGGTTGCTCCTTCTCCATCTCCTTGGCTGGACCCTCCTGCTCTCCCTGACCTGACCTCTGAATGACAGAGTCCCCAGGACTCAGCCCTCGGGCTGCATTTCTCCTTCACCTGCACTTACTGCCCTGGGGAGCTCATCCAGGCTGATGGCTTACATGGCCTTTCTTGCACATTGTGAATCTATTCAGAATCTGACCCAGCTGCACTTCCCCTTCCCCCCAATCTGAGTCATCATCACATCTTGTCTGGATTGTCACAGTAGCCTCCTCACTGGTCTCCCTGCTCCTGCCATTGTATCCTCCACCAAACATCTTACATTCACACGGGTACAGGGGGGTACCAGGCAGCATGTACTCTGTGTGGATGGTGCCCTGGGAGTTGTGTGATATGGGGCTCTGTTGCTGCCCTGCATCTCCAGGTGACACCGAGAGGGATTTGTGAAACTAAAAGTCAGGCCGAGGTCACTCCTCCCCTGGCTACCATTTCACCCGGAGAAGAAGCCAGAGTTTCTGCAGTGGCCTGGTCAGCCAGCCCTGTCCTCTCACTTCCTCAGGCAGACTGTTCCCCCTTCAGGGCCTTTGCATCGGTTTTGTCCTTTTCTTGGAATTCTCAACCTGCAGTTAAACTCACAGCTTATTCTCTGACCTCCTTCAGGACTTAGCCCAAAGATCACCTTGTCTCTAAGGCCTTCCTTGACCACCATGCATAGCACACCTAGCTCCTTTTCTTGGTCTCTTTTTTCCTTAGCATCTATGGTTATGTGACATTCCATATAGTTAATGACATTTCATACATTTCACATATTTGTTTGTTTTCTTGTTACTGGAATAGAAGCTAAAGGGTTTTTTGTCTGTCTTGCTCACTGGTGTATCCCCAGTTCTGAGCACAAAGCCTGGCACATGGTAGGAGTTCAGTAAATATTTGTCGAATGAATGATGACTGTGCACCCCCGTCAGAAGGTGGCTTCCTTCTGCCTCATTCCTATCCTGAACTAGTACCCTGGTCTCTTTGGCCAGCCCTGGACTGCTGCCCAGATTCCACCGGCAACAAACCCTGCTTCCCAGGAAATCTCCTTTCTTTCAACCTGAACCTTTGATTCCCTTTTCTATAATCAAGGGGAACCTGTGTCTCTTTTATTCCAGCCACTGTGCCTACCTTGACCTGGCCTGACAACATGTCATTTCTGAGTAGCTCTCCGAGGCGCCTCATGGTGTTTGGGGTAGAGCGATGGTGGGAGGCCAGACGTGCCTGACTCTCTAGCTGTGCTCCCGGTCTAGATGGCGCCCAGGGGTCAAAGTTAAAATGTGGGGAATCGGTGCTCAGCTGGATGCCTCTGAGTCATCCTGCACCACAGATCCCGTTCTTTCTTCCAGTCTGACTGTTCAGTCCACTTTCTGTCTGGCCCACTAGCCTGAATCCCCTCCTCCTGAGGGTCAGAACCCCAGGCATGATGCCTTCCCACCTGTTTGATGAGTGTGGTTTTTTTTAAAAAACTAGGTAAATAGCATGAAGGAGCTGTACTTGCTGATGGAGGAAGAGGAATTAAATGCCCAGCATTCTGATAACAAGACCTGCACGGGGGACAGCTGGACCCAAAACACGGTTTGTTCTCAGCCTGTTCCCAGGCCTGTCCTGTCTATTTCTTTCTTTGTCTGATTAATGGTCACTTCCTGCTGCCTTCTCTGATCTATCTTGTATTGGGCACTAGAGCTGCAGAGAGTTATTGCCTAGTCACTGGCCCCGGATGCTCAGTGTAGTGGGGTATATACGTCATCCCAGGGCAGTGACAGAGGGCCAGATGGTGGACTGTGGGGTCACAGGCAAGAGAACCATTAATTCTGTTTGGAGTGTAATAGACAGTGCCACAGAGAAGTGGTTATAGGTGGTGGGGGTATTTTTTATATTTTTTTTTATTGATTTCAGAAAGGAAGGGAGAGGGAGAGAGAAACATCAATGATGAAAGAGAATCATTGATCACCTGCCTCCTGCACACCCCCTACTGGGGATCAAGCCCGCAACCTGAGCATGTGCCCTTGACCGGAATCGGACCTGGGACCCTTCAGTCTACAGGCGAACACTCTATCCACTGAGCCAAGCCGGCTAGGGCTAGGTGGTGGGTTTTGAAGGATGAATGGGAGTTTGCCTAATAGAGAATGAGGGGAAGACTATTCTGGACCAAGAGAACTGTGTGTGCAGAAGTGTGGCAAGATATTCTGCGATTCCTTGCATTTTGGGATGTACATAGTGGAGATGAGGACATCAGGCTGGGGTCATATGAAGATGGACCTTGTGGTCTGTGGTCAGGAACCCTCAAATCAAGCCAGGGGTAGGGAGAACAATGGGGTCAGGCTCCCAGGGCACACACAGTGAGCTTGGGTACGGGTGGGAAACAGGCATGGGCCAAGGAGAAGAGATTTGGGACCAAATCAGGCATTCAGGGAGGCTCCATGGTTCGGACCCCTTATCTGGCCCACAGTGGGTCAGAGAGAATCCTGGGCAAGGAGAAGGATCCAGGACCTAGACAGTGCAGGGCCTCAAAAAAGCCAGGGCCCTGTTCAGATTTAGGCAGAGTGATTATGGCTATAACTGCAGCATTTTTATTTATGTGAGGCTGGGATATATGTTGGCCTAGGACAGTGGTTCTCAACCTTCTGGCCCTTTAAATACAATTCCTCATGTTGTGATCCAACCATAAAATTATTTTCGTTGCTACTTCCTAACTGTAATGTTGCTACTGTTATGAATCGTAATGTAAGTATCTGATATGCAGGATGGTCTTAGGCGACCCCTGTGAAAGGGTCGTTCGACCGCCAAAGGGGTCGCGACCCACAGGTTGAGAACCGCTGGTCTAGGAGGTGGCCAGGGTTGAGATGACTCGGCTCAGAAATCTTAGGGCTGAAAGTTCATGGGTGAGATGGCCTAGAGAGGGTGTGGGACTTGCCTGAGGCCTGGTAGGGTCCCAGTCTGGACTTTGGGTGAGTGTTCCCAGCCCAGGCTCCCCTCGCGGCCCCTCTAAACGCTCCTGACCCAGGCCTCGCCCCTGTCTGCAGCCCAATGAGTACATTAAGACGCTGGCCGACATGAAGGTGACACTCAAGGAGCTGTGCTGGCTGCTCCGGGATGAGCGCCGGGGTCTGACTGAGCTTCAGCAGCAGTTTGCCAAGGCCAAGGCCACCTGGGAGACGGAGCGTGCAGAGCTCAAGAGTCACACCACCCAGGTGGGTCTCCCGCCGGACAGAGACCTCTCCCCCTTGTCCTGTCTCAGCCCAGCCCTCAGCTGTGGGATCTGGGAGCAGGATGTCCAAGCTTAAGTGCCTGTCTGTACCTGGTGACATCCTTCCCACGCACACCTGGACCTCAGCTGCCTGCTGTCCTCGTTCTTTCCTTCCTCTCCTCACAAGGATCCCCTTAACCCCCTGCTACCTGGCTCTGCTCTGTTCCCTCCGCTCAAACTGAGGGGCTCCTCTCCCCACAACCCCATGACCAAAGGGGCCTTCCCCAGGAGCTCTGGGGTTTGGTCTCTGCTGTGTACCTGGAGGCAGGTTGCTGCCCCGCTCTGGTTTTTGCAGTGAGGGGGTGGACTTCCTCCCACTCAGAGAGAGTGCTCTAACCACCTCTAGCCCCCGGCACAGCGCTGCAGGGTCCGGCTTCCTCCAGCCTGCCCCTGCGGCAGGCTACCTTCCAGTGTCATGGCCCCTTGGAGGTGAGTACACTCATTATCTCTGCTGGACAAGTGACAAAGCAGGCACAGAGGAGTTAAGTTTCTTTCCCAAGGTCACCGAGCTAGTCAGGGGCAGATCTGATCCTCATGCCCCAAACCTCTGCCCCTCCTGACTCCCATGATCATGCTCTCACCTTCTTTCTAATGCTCAGATTCCTGGCTTCCCCGAGCCATCATGCTCCTCCTGACCCTCCCTGCAGATCTCACAGCTCCTGCCCCATCTGCGCATCCCACAGTGTCCACTGTTTGTCTCCCCCTCCCCGTCTCCTAACCCAGCCATTTGGTGCTCCTCTCCACTGGGAACCTTGCTGGCCCCATGAGGGTTAAGATCCCAGACCACAGCCTGGGGGATGTGGGCTGCCTTAATTCTTGAGGTTGTCTATTCACCTCCTGCCACCCCAAGGTTTGAGGCCGAGAAAGCCATCACGCTGGAGGGATTCCTGCACACATTCATGGCATGACTGTGGGTGCATGTCCCCGCTAACTGTAACTCTGTACCGCTGGTAAGAGTTGTGAAGTATGAGAAGCAGTAACTAGGAGCCTGCCATTTTATAGCTGTGGGAACTGGGACAAGTAACTTACCTCTTTAACCTCTTCCTCCTGTGTAAAATATCAAAAGTGGTAGTCTTTGCATGAGGCCGACTTTGCATGAGGATACTGAGATAATAAATGCCTGAGAAGCCCTTAGCTCTGAGTCGGGTGGGAAGAAAGAGTTCCACAAGCCTTGCTTGGGAGGAGGGGTTAGTTCTGAGTGAGGAGTCCTCCCAGGGAACTCTCTCCCCTGTCCCCTGCTGGTGTCCTGGAGGGAACAGGGCAGGAGAGGAGAGAGGTGGGGCCTCCTGATGCCAGCGTCCAAGTTGCTCTTCCTTCCACAGATAGAGCTGAAGGCCGGGAAGGGCGCTGGGGAACGGACAGGGCCCGAGTGGAAGGCCGCCCTCCAGAGGGAGCGGGAGGAGCAGCAGCACCTCCTGGCTGAGTCCTACAGCGCTGTCATGGAGCTGACGCGGCAGCTGCAGGTCAGCGAGCGCAACTGGAGCCAGGAGAAGCTACAGCTGGTGGAACGGCTTCAGGGGGAGAAGCAGCAGGTGGAGCAGCAGGTAAAGGAGCTGCAGAACCGCCTGAGCCAGGTGAGGCCTGTCCCAGCCCAAGCCACAAGGGGCAGTGTTTGTAGAAAAGGGCCTGGGGTAGGCGCGCCTTCAGGCATAGCCGGATCCAGGTGCTCAGAGAATACAGTAGGAACTGGGTCTTTCTCCCTGCCAGTCTCTCAGACTTGTTTTCCTCTGTGTTTTTTCTTAAGCAAGCTTCCCTCAAACATGGCCACTGTTAGTTTTGTGCTCATATCCTCACAGCTTAGTGACTGCAGTGGAAAGACTTGTCTTTCCTTACAAGGCTCTGATTGGCTAGGTGTGAGTCATGTGCCCATCCCTGGAGCCTGCCAAAACCCAGGAACCAAGAGGGAAGAACCAAGGGTGGGCCCCCATGGGAAAATTGGAGTCCTCAGACCAGAAGAGGGAGATAGGAAAAGCAATCACTGAACATTATGTCCACTGCAGTTCACACCATGCACCCAGCTTAGCAGGCTGCTATGCTCCCCTCATTATTTTGGCTTTTTCCTTTGCTTTACTTTTTATTTTCATTACCTAAATCAGGACTTCATCTTTATACAAGACCCACATATTGCAAAAGCTTATTCCAACCCACTCCCTCCTTTTCTTGCTAAATTTATATTTTTAAATCATTAATTAAATCATAATGTACATATTATTTACACTTTGCCTCTGTGATAGACAGCTGTTCACAACAGGGTGTAGAGGCCGTTGTCCTTCAGTTTATCTGCTCTTTAGCATTCCTGGTATAAAGACACCACCCTGATGTGATGCAGCTGCTGCTTCGCTGGTTCAGCTGTTCCAGAAATTGTAGCATGAATTAACATTGTAGTAACAACTGTATCGCAGTGTAGAGTACTAAATATAATGTCATCTATAAGGATGCCCATCAGTGGTTGCTTTTATGGTCCTTTCTCAAGTCCACCTTGTTGGTGGCTCAGAGCTGCCACCCACTGTGCAGGTGGCTTCTAGGCCATGATCTGGGTTCTCCAGGCTGTAAAGCAGAGCCTGGGGCGGGGCCCAGCACAGAGTGGGGCCCTGCTCACCAGCTGTGCCCACCACTGACCGCCCTCCTCACCCTTGCCCAGCTGCAGAAGGCTGCCGACCCCTGGGTCCTGAAGCACTCAGACTTGGAGAAGCAGGACAACAGTTGGAAAGAGGTGAGTAGAGTAGCAAGCCATCCATGTTCTTTTGGCTCCTGGCTACACTGGGAAGTCCCTCCATTGGGGAGGATGTGACGGGAGGATGCTAACCCTGTCGCATAGGTCACAGCCAAGCCGGTGGTCTGGGACTTGGAAGGACCCTCTGCCAGCTCCATTTTTCCATGTCTGGGAGAAGGGCTGGGTGTCTGTATTCTTTTGATTTCATATGTGCCTTTCTGAAAAGCAGGGCTTCTGAATAGCCATGTGATCTTGGGCAAGTCACTCACCCCCTCTGGGCCCCGTTGCCGCACTGGTAAAATGAGAATCATGTTCTCGGCCTTGGCCCAGCCCTGGTTGTGGAGATCAGTTAGGTCACATGGGTGAAGATTGCTCCTAAGCCTCAGCTGCATTGTCCTTAGGGCAACACGTCGAGTAACCAGCGAATGGACAGGTCCTTTCCATCATCCCGTGTAATCCTCACGACAGCCTGAGGAAGTGGTGTGTGAGTCAGGAGACGTGGTTGCAACGAAAACTGATTCTAGGGAACTGAGGCAGGAGAGGATTTTATTAGGGGCTCCAGAGGCCTGGCAATGCAGGTTCAGAAAAGTGGGGACCTGCTTTGGAACCAGAGTGAGACAAGCCCAGAGCAGGAACCTCCAGATCACTGCTGCCAGCTGAACAGCAGCCACTGGGAGCTGCCACCACATGCAGATTAAGTTCTAAACAGACTGTTTCCTTGGGGTTCTCTCTTGGAGCTCCCATTGGCCAAGCCTGGATCACATACCTATGGGGAGGGGAGATGCGTTATAGCCAGAACCTGGCCAGTCGGCATTCTAGGTCAGTGCTGACATCACAGCTGCTCTACAAGAGGAGACTCAGGTGGGGTCAGTCCCCAGAGTGACCTCCTGTCACCTTCCCTCAGGGTGTTGGGGGCCAGAACTGACCCTTCTTGTCTCTCTTCCTTGACAGACACGCAGTGAAAAGATCCACGACAAGGAGGCTGTTTCTGAAGCTGAGCTTGGGGGAACCGGCTTAAAGAGGTGCTGGCATCCCCTCCACCCACTTCCCCCTGCAGCCCCACCCCCTGCTCCACCCTCTGCTCTGCCCTATACCTGCCCCGCGCCTTGCCTCTCTCCTCTCCCATGCCCCATGTGCCCATCTCTGCACCTCAGCCGAGCTGGCAGAACGCAGGCACATGGTTTCTATGCAACCCAGGCCACTTAGCAACTGGGAAACTTGGAGCGGTAATTCCTGTGTATGATTTTTTGTTTGATTCTGGACACGGAAAACTGGGGCACCTGCATACCCTAGCTGGGAAAGAAATTATTTAGCTCTTGTTGAGGTTCTTTCTTCTTGTGTCTGTAGTTAGGAGAATCAAGCTGGACTCCCATTCCTGGGATTAATGAGCCCCTCAGGCTCTCAAGCCCGTGTCACCACCATTAGGAAACCCATGGAAGGAGTGAGGGCAACAGAGCCCCAGAGGGGCCATGGGAGCAGCCTGGACCAGGAAGGTGGACTGTGGAGTCAAGTGTGGGTTTTGAATTCCAGTTCTGCCATTTCCAGCTCTGACGTTGGGTGTTGCTTCCATCTCTAGCTGGTGGAGATCATAGAAGCTGCCTCCTGGAGCTATTGGAGGACTGAACGGTCTGACATGTGAGAGGCACTGACGTATGCCCAGCATTTTTAGTCATCGGGCAACATGTGTGCCAGGTCTCTGCTGGCTATTTAGTGAAGTTTTAGTTTGGGTTCCCCCGAAGCAAAGACAAGGACTTGAGACCTTGAGACAAGGGTTTGAGTGGAAATGATTTATTTGGGAGTGGATTCCAGGAAACACCTGAAAGTGAGACAGGGAAGGGAAGGCAGCCAGTAAAGGGGGTGTTACCATTCCACGGGCAACCTGAACTCCGTTTTAGTGAAGAACTCTGGGAGCCAGAGCAGAGCATGCAGCTCAGAGTTCTCCCACCCACCCATTGTTTGTCGAGGGCTACGTTTAGGGGCACAAACTCTGACTTTTTCCAGCTTCCTCTGTGTGGAAGCCACGTCTGCTCCTGCAGTCAGAAGAAAAAGCCCTCAGGTGCTCAGAGCACGCAGTGCTGGGTGTGTAGGTGTGAGTGCGTACGGAATGTGGGGCAGGGCGCTGACAGAGACTTCCACAAGAGGCGAGCAGGATGGTGTGGTCCCAGCCCTGGGACAGCGCAAGAACCAGGGAGGGAGGCCAGGGGGCCTTGCTTGGGGCATGTTATCTTCCACTAACTCTTCCTCCCCTGCTCTTCCCAGGACCAAATCTGTTTCCTCCATGTCTGAGTTTGAAAGTTTGCTTGACTGTTCCCCCTACCTGGCCAGTGAAGCTGCCCGGGGCAAGAAGCTGCCCAACAACCCTGCCTTTGCCTTTGTGGGCACCCAGCCGGTGGACCCAGAGAAGGATGCCCAGGCACAGCCACGGGACTGCGGCCGCCTGGGCGCCCTGGCCTGCCAGGACCCGGCAGGGAGGCAGATGCAGCGCAGCTACACAGCTCCCGACAAGACGGGCATTCGTGTCTACTACAGCCCCCCTGTGGCCCGGCGCCTGGGTGTCCCCGTGGTCCATGATAGGGAGGGCAAGATCATCATCGAGCCCGGCTTCCTCTTCACCACCGCCAAGCCCAAGGAGTCGGCAGAGGCCAATGGGCTGGCTGAAAGTTCCTACGGCCGGTGGCTGTGCAACTTCTCACGGCAGCGCCTGGACGGGGGCTCAGGGGGCGGCTCCCCGGCGGCGGGGCCTGGGTTCCCAGCAGCCCTGCACAACTTGGAGATGTCAGGCAACATGAGTGACGACATGAAGGAGATCACCAACTGTGTGCGCCAGGCCATGCGCTCAGGCTCGCTGGAAAGGAAAGTGAAGAGCACGTCCAGCCAGACGGTGGGCCTGGCCAGTGTGGGCACCCAGACCACCCGCATGGTCAGCGTGGGCCTGCAGACCGACCTGCCCCGCAGCAGCCTCCACGGCAAGAGCTGGTCACCCCGCAGCTCCTCACTCGTGTCCGTGCGCAGCAAGCAGATCTCCTCCTCCCTGGACAAGGTGCACTCACGCATCGAGCGGCCGTGTTGCTCGCCCAAGTATGGCTCGCCAAAGCTCCAGAGGCGGTCTGTGTCCAAGCTGGACGGTGCCAAGGACCGCAGCCTGTGGAACCTACACCAGGGCAAGCAGAATGGCTCGGCCTGGGCCCGCTCCACCACGACGCGGGACAGCCCCGTGTTGAGGAATATCAACGACGGGCTGTCCAGTCTCTTCAGTGTGGTGGAGCACTCGGGGAGCACGGAGTCCGTCTGGAAACTGGGCATGTCTGAGGCCCGGGCCAAGCCCGAGCCTCCCAAGTACGGCATCGTGCAGGAGTTCTTCCGCAACGTGTGCGGCCGGGCCCCCAGCCCCACCTCAGTGGCAGGGGAGGAGAGCACCAAGAAGCCGGAGCCCCTCTCCCCGGCCAGCTACCATCAGCCAGAGGGCATGGCTAGGATCCTGAACAAGAAGGCACCCAAGTCAGGCAGCAGCGAGGAGGCCAGACTCTCCGTACTCCCCCAGGTGGGGAAAGATGGTATCCTCCGGGACGCAGATGGAACCCCAGTCCTTCCCAGTGAGGTAGGTGGGTAGGGTTGCCCTTTTCCTTGGGAGGTGGGGTTGGCTTATAAGGTCCAAGCTCTTCTGGTTTTCAAGCTCAGGGAATATAGTTAATGTGTTTCAAAAAGTTCTTGTGCTCATCTGGGACGGGGTTTGGAAGGCCCCAGACCTGGAATGACACATGGTCCGGATACCAAGAGACTAGTGAGTACTAGAGATTGCCAGCATCCCCCACAGGGAGGGGGTGTGCTCACCTCTCTCCTGCCACCAATGGTGTGCTGGAGCCTGCCCATGTGATTTGTGAGAGTCAGTTGTGCCATCTCTGTGTTCAGTGACATCACCTTGGTACCCTGAGATCAGCCATCGTGGGAGAATTTACACTATGAAAATTGGCAAATGCCACAAGTCAGGGCCCCTCCCCTCACTCCTGAAAAGCTAGTTATTAAATATTTATCAGCATGCCACTGCCCCCACCCCACCAAGACTCCATGCCTAAGTGCTCTCACTTTCTCTGAGAATCTTTTGCCTGCATACCTCACTCCGGATACCAGTTTCAGATTTTGTCAGGGATTATTTGCAATAGTAAAAGAATGCATATGCATTAGCTTCGCAGAAAGGGAAGTGGTGGAGTATCTTACAGAACCCGAGGGCAGGGACCCAAAGGCCTCAGCAGCTTCTTTCTCTCTCCCTCTCCTCTCTCTTGAGCTTCATTTTCTCTGATAATGTGCTCAGTATGTATATTTCATTCTTCCTTCTTCTGTTTCTCTCTCTTGCATTTGCATATGGTCAGGAGGGCTGTGCTAGCTCTGATTTTATAACCTCTTCCAGTTCAAGCACCTAAGAAAGACTTACTCAAATCCCTCTGTCCCAGTTCCACATTTTTGGAAGAAAGAAACTGGTCCAACTCAAGTCCAGTGTACTCCCTTGGTCCAGTCAGCTGTGGTACATGTGATGTACAGTATATTCAGTGAGGGCTGCATATGGGGGCACAGAGGTGGGGTAGGCTGTGATTGGTGCAATTGTATGTATTGTATGTTTAGGTGGTTTCTAGTTTTTCCCTATTATAAATAATTCTGTGGTGAACATCTTGGTACAAAAACATTTTTCCACATTTCAGATGATTTCCTTAGGTCTGAGTTGCAGAAATAGGATTACAGGATAAAAGAATATACATTTTTAAAGGTATTTGATAAATGTTGCTAAATCGCCTTCAAAAGAGTTTGCCTGTGGACTGAAGGGTCCCAGGTTCGATTCCGGTCAAGGGCCTGTACCTCGGTTGCTGGCTCCTACAGGTTAGGGCTCCTGCAGGAGGCAACCAATCTATGTGTTTCAATCACATCGATGTTTCTCTCTGTCTTTCTCTCTCTCTTCCACTCTCTCTAAAATCAATGGGAAAATATCCTTAGGTGAAGATTAAAAGAAAAAGAAAAAAGAAGAGTTTGTTCGATTTCTACAGCCCTCATTGTATAGTGAGTGCTTTACTTCTCTGTACTCTCACCTAGCTGGCCACATTTAAAACAAACTCTTTTAAATATTTATTTCTACTTCTTAATTTATAAAAAACTTTAAATTTAATGTACATACTGAACACATCATAAGAATAGGGCACACTGAATTCTAGCCCTAACCGGTTTGGCTCAGTGGATAGAGCGTCGGCCTGCGGACTGAAAGGTCCCAGGTTCGGTTCCGGTCAAGGGCATGTACCTGGGTTGCGGGCACATCCCCAGTGGGGGATGTGCAGGAGGCAGCTGATCGATGTTTCTCTCTCATCGATGTTTCTAACTCTCTATCTCTCTCCCTTCCTCTCTGTAAAAAATCAATAAAATATATATTTAAAAAAAAATAAAAAAAAAATAAATAAAAATAAAGCTTCCTTTAAAAAAAAAAATAGGGCACACTGAATTCTCACAAACTGAATACATACCCATTGTTTTATTTTCCAAAGAAACAGAACCAGTAGGCTGTGTGTGTGTGTAATTGGTTTACACCAATATTATAAGGAATTGGCTTGTGAGATCATGGAGGCTAAGTCCCAAGATTTGCAGGATGAGTTAGCAAGCTGGAGACCCAGGCGAGCCAATGGTTTAGTTCCATCTGGGTCCAAGGGCCTGAGAACAGGAAGAGGTGATGGTGTAGTTCTGGTAGAATATATGTACCTAGTGTAGTTCCAGTCCGAAGGCTGGCAGGCTTGAGTCCTAGGAAGAGCCAATGTTTCGGTTCAAGCCTGAAGGCAGGGAAAAATGCCGATGTCCCAACTCAAAGGCCATCAGGCAGGAAGAATTCGTTCTTACTCAGGGAGAATCAGCCGTTTTATTCTGTTCAGGCTCTCAACCTATTGGATGAGGCTGACCCACATTAGGGAGGGCAGTCTCTTTTGCTCTGTCTGCTGATTTAAATATTAATCTCATCCAAAAGCATCCCCACGGAAGCACCCATGTTTGACCAAATATCTGGGCATCCTGTGGCTCGGTCAAGTTGACACATAAAGTTAACGGTCACACCCATGTAACCACACCTACATCAGGAAACAAAGATACAGAGCTGGCTGTATTTTGAATGTTGATTCAAACATTTTGCAGTATATGAAAATTGACCAATTGTTCTAGAAATGTAGCTTATGGAATATTCACAGAGGCTGGAATGCATATGTGTATAAAGAAATATATTGCGCCCTAACCGGTTTGGGTCAGTGGATAGAGCGTCGGCCTGCGGACTGAAGGGTCCCAGGTTCAATTCCGGTCAAGGGCATGTACCTTGGTTGCGGGCACATCCCCAGTGGGGGGTGTGCAGGAGGCAGCTGATCAATGTTTCTCTCTCATTGATGCTTCTAACTCTCTATCCCTCTCCCTTCCTCTCTGTAAAAAAATCAATAAAATATATATATTTTTAAAAGAAATATATTGCATTATTAATAAAAATAGCTAACATTTTTAAGTACTTAATAGGCACTATGCCAAAAGCTTTACATAGCCTATGTCAGTGGTCGGCAAACCGCGGCTCGCGAGCCACATGTGGCTCTTTGGCCCCTTCAGTGTGGCTCTTCCACAAAATACCACATGCGGGTGCGCACGTACAGTGCGATTGAAACTTTGTGGCCCATGCGCAGAAGTCGGTATTTTGTGGAAGAGCCACACTCAAGGGGCCAAAGAGCTGCATGTGGCTCGCGAGCCACAGTTTGCCGACCACTGGCCTATGTGATTTAACTCTCACAACAACTTTGAGAAAGATATCATGTTCCTCACCCCAGAGAGGAGGAAATCAAGGTCCAGAGATTTAAGTAACTTATCCGAGATCACACAGCTGGAAGTGACAGGGCTGGGATTTGAACCAAGCATTCTAATTCTGTAACAGCACTTTAACCATTGTCCCTATGTGTTGGTAACACTAAAAAAATAGAAACTACCTAAATGCACATCAAAAATGAATAGAATAAATAAATTAAGGTATTTCCACTCAATGGAATAGTAGATAGCTATTAAAAAGAAGATCTTGACCAAAAAAAAAGTGCTCATGTTTTGCAATTGCATCAATAGGCTGTAAGAGGTAAGGTCATTTCAGTAAATATATGTGTGTGCAATTTGGTGAGAATTTACTTTGTTGTGTAGAACCACGGACAGTGTTCACTTTCTTCTCTGTATATTCCAGAATTTATTACATTATGGAAAGTTATTTATGAACATTCATTACTGTTCTAATGAAAGAAAAACAATTTTAAAAAATTCATCCAAAGAGGGGCTACAGTCCCTGGGACCTGGTCCCTGGCATGATTGAGCCAGCTCTTTGCCTGGCTGGTCTTCCAACCCCTGGGTGGTCAGTCCCTCCTAGCTCCTCCTGATTTCCTCTCTTCCTCCTCCTAGGATGCTGTTTGTGACTGCAGCACCCAGTCTCTCACCTCCTGCTTCGCCCGGCCATCCCGCTCTGCCATTCGCCACTCTCCTTCCAAGTGCAGGCTGCACCCTTCAGAGTCCAGCTGGGGTGGGGAAGAGAAAGCAGCCCCTCCCAGCGAGTGACAGCAGCTGAGCTCCCTGCCTCGACCAGCCCAGGCCATGGACAGCAGAAGGAAACCAGCGGAGAGGAGGGTCATGCCCTCCGCATCGCCTTGCCCTGGGGGGTAGCAGCTGCACCACTGCTAGAGAACAGCTTTCAATCCCCAAGGTAAAGTGGATTCTCCTGCTGACCATGGGGTGGCGATCTCTGGCTCCTCAGGGGAAGGCAGTGAGTAGGAGAAAGACCAAAACTGTGCTTCAAAGTGTCTCCAGAGAGATCCGTTGAGAGCTTATCCCTGGGTCTTAAAGGAGAGTCTTGCCTGGTTCTGCCCGCACCCCTTCTCAGAAGAGCTGAGGAAGGGGTACACTCCTCAGGGAAAGGCTCATGGAGATGATCATTGCCAATCACACCCCCTTCATGGGGAGGAAACCCCAATGAGAAGAACTGGTTTTGATCTAGGACTCAGCTTGGGGTTCCTGGTGGAGCTGGGCTGGACATGATCCCCATCCCTGCCTTCCCCCACTGCCTCCTCCTCCCAGCCCCACTGCTTTGGACTGCTGTGACTCTAGGGGGTATGATAGGGTAGTAGCCAGGGCCAAGCATCTGCTTGGAATCCTGCTGCTCTGGATCTCCCTGCACAGAGCCTGGGTACAGCAGGACTAGAAGGTGAGAAGGTGTGGGACTCAGAGCCGGTGAGCCACTGGAACTGCCTCCCTTGCCAAGGTGACAACCTTCCCAGGATATTCCTTGAGGTCAGAAATAGGTAGAGTCACTCTCAAGATCTGGTGCACAGATAAATGCCTAATGCCCACTGCCTTGATCACTGGGGCCTCTTCCCCCAGCACCCTGGAGGGGCACCACATCTCCACTGTGTTTACATCCTGTGGCTGGTGGAGGGCAAAGCTATTCCCAGTAAGAGACTCCCAGTTGGCCAGGCCAGGCCAAGGAGCACTCCAAGAGGCTGGTGTCCCAGGACATAACGGTAACACATTTCTTACGTAGGTTGTTTATTTGAATTTTTCTTACTATAAATATTTAAGGTGGTTTTACTTTATTTTAATAATTTAATTTACCCCCAAAGTCCCTAAGGTAATTTATTGGCGATTAAGACATGTATTCTTGCCGCTGGGATAATGAAAGGCTTTGAACACAATGGACAGGTGTGGGGTCCCCCATGTGGACGAGACCGCTCAGCAGCTGAGCTCTGGTCTCCTGGTCAGGTTTGCCCCTCCCCTCCAGAGCTGGAGCCCTTATCTTGCTCCCCCAACATTCCTGGTCATTGGCCTCAGAGCACTGCTTTTCACTCAACATCTGGTACTTGCCTGGCCCCTGGCAGCCAGTCTGTAAATGCTCACTGACCAGCTGGAGGGCTGGACCCTCATCACCCAAACATTCTCCATTTCCCCTTCTCATTCCCCCCCCCCCAAATCTGACACCTTTCTCTTTTTTTGAGTCAAACATGGATTACTAAGACTCTCTCAAGAGCACGGAGATCTCTCCAAATTCCCCAAGTGAGAATTCGCAGGAAAACAGGACTGAACTTCGAGAATGTTGTTTATTGCAGCTTTGCACATGGATCTGAGAGTGTCTACCAGCCTGCCAGCCTTTTCACCAGCCTTGCTTAGCCTTATGACCTCTCATGGCTCTTCTCTGAGCCCCAACTCCACTGCCCACCCGCCCCCACATCCCAAGTGAGCTGCCCGGGCCATTGGATAGATTGTGACGTGGCTCATTGCAGTATGGCCAGTATGGCGAAGAGGCCTCAGGTGGCCTTCCCCTTGGTGCCAGCGAGCCCATTTTGGCCACACACACGCAAAGGTGTGGCTCTCCTATAACTGGCTGGATGTCCAGAGTGGAAACACCAGGATGAAATGGTTTGTCTGTGGAATTCCCCATGAGGAAGACCAAAAGCCAGCAGCTTGGTTAGTTTGCCCCCAGGACTCAGGAGATGCCTCTGCACTCCCACCTGCTTCTAGTTCTGCCCTTTTAGGTCATCTGGACCAGTTACCCAAAGTCCTTCATCTCCATTCCCTGACAGAAGAACACCAGGGTCATGTTCAACCAGTCACATAGTGACCTGTATGGGCAGAGGAGGCAGACCAGTGGAGCCATGGGCCAGGCCCCTCTGGAATGTGGTGCTCCCACCCAAAAGGTCAAGGGGCCCCTCCAGGGTTATCTCCAGATGAGGAGGTTCACAACAGGCCACAAGCCACCAGAGGCCTTCTGCCACCTCCCCAAGCTGCAGAGGGCCAGGGAGCCTGCACCCCCAGCCTTGGAGAGAAATCCTCATGAGACCTGAACCCTGCAGCCTATAGACCGCTCAGCCTTACCATCGTCCTCGTCCAAGATTGTCCTTGCCATCCTTGTCTCAGCGCCTGGCCGCCCGGCCCCCAGCTGGTGTCAGACGCTCCAGATCTTGGTTTTCAATAAAGTCCCAGTTTCTACTTTCTGCATGCCACTGTGCAAGGTCACTCATCACTCTTCCTACAGAAGCCTCTGGACATGGGGCTTGATGGGGTGGAAAATGTTGTATGTAAATATTCATTTGGTTTGATTTTTAGCATTTTAATTAGTAACTGTGTTTTCTTTTTGGGGGTGGGGAGGGTTTGGTTTGTAAAAACTCTACTCTTTTGGAATGTAATTTCTAAGTTTGTTTGTTTCTTCAAATGTCTTTTAAGTCTTGGTAACATTCCCAAAGCAGAAAACTGCCTGACTCACAGTGGGGACTCCCTGGAACATTGGGGTACCAGGAAAGAACACTACCCTCTTCCCCTTCCTGCTATCCCTCTGCCTTTTTACTCCTGGCACCTGCCTTTTCCTCCTCCTCCTCTCCTAGTCTTCTTCCTCCTTTCTCCCCATCTCTACTCTTCAACCAAAGTCCCAAGGAACCCTGGGGTCCTAATCCCTTACAGACTGCTAGGCTTGGGCCCATGGTGTTGGCAGGAGTTGGTAGGGATAAATGGAAGACCATTGGCATGGTTGGCCCTAAAGTGGGCAACCTCATGTTTCTTCTGAGACCTCTTTCAAAACCAAATTAGATGCTCCTGGGGTCCTTGATGTTTGTATTTGAAATGAAAATCCTACCACTTTGCTCTAGAGACCCTGTATGCACAAGGCAGCAGAATCCTGTTCCCCATCTCCAGCAACCCCTTCCCCCCAATTTTTTCTCCACCAAAGGATGACCAATTTTAAAACATTATCAAGAGTTCTTACTTTAAAAAAAAAAGAGTTCTTACTATCACAGAACTCAAAATGAGCTGACCCCATGGCCTCCCCTACCGGTTGCTTTCCCAGGTGACACAGTTGAGGACTTCAAAACTTGACCCTTTTCCACCCTGACCACCATGGGGCTCCATCATGCCTGCCCCATGCTTCTTTAATAGTTTCATCACTCGGTCTGTTTTCTTCTTGCCTACCCAACTTTTGGGCTCTTCCTCCTTCTCCTTTCCCATTCGGAATATCCCCCCTTTCCAGCCTCACCCCCCCCCCCCGCACCCTCTGTCAAGTTCCCACTGCCTCTTCGTTAATAATGATGATG